CGAGTTGGAGCGTCATTTCCAGATTAGAGAGCGACTCAGTTATTGTGTGTGTACAGTGAATATATGTGTGTGAGAGAGTCAGAGGATATATGAAGTGTATGATATATTGTTGTACTTGTCACAAGGGTAGTTTTGTAACTCTGTAATACTATATGAGGTTAAAAATGACATTTCAGACATTGTAAAGGGCAAAATTGACCTTACACTCATTTATTCCTCCTGACATCAGCATTAGTAGTCTATTACTTAACGGCAGGGGTAACATGGTACATCTGGTCAAAAGTTAGGGGATGTGCGTGGAATATTAAAACCTTTAGGGAGTGTAGGTAGGATATGATTAAAGGTGAGGGGGTGCAGGTGAAATTAACTTTTTTTTGTTTTTAAATCCAAGGCATCACCAATCCTGTAGAAATTAGGGCCATCTGGTGAATTACCGATGATGTTCATCATTTGGTGTTATATTTAATATATGTAGAGAGAGAGAGAGAGAGAGAGAGAGAGACTTTACAGCAAAGGAATCATGTTGGAGTGTTGGACAACTCACACCCATGGGACACCAATTTGTACTGTTCCTTTCCCACCAAATGCCAACCTGTGATAAAGAATGCCCCAACATCAAGAGTTCCACTGTCCACCCCCATAGCACCTAATATCAGCCGCCCAAGGCACGTCCATTCTCCACTTGGCATCAATCCGATGTCACAATTTTTATTTTTTTCCTAATCATTCGAGACGGACACACCTGTTAGGAGAGGTGGTTCTAAATTAAATCACTGAGTAATGTCTGAATAATTTTCACTTGTTAAGACACACAAAGGCGTATTTGAAGAATTGGGTGGCATTGAACAACACAATTCAATAAATAAATAAATATTTGTTTTGACTCTTGAGCGGTTTGCAAAACCCAAATTTCATTAACGATACGTACATTATAATTGTAATCATTTATGGTTATGTTATTCTACATTGTTTTGGAATTGAAATTAGTTAAATCAAAAAAAAAGTTTAATTCAACTTTTTATAATTTTAAATTAAATTTTTTTTTTTTTAATTTCAATTTCAAAACTCTAATTTTATAGAAATCAAAGATAGATTTTTCACTTAAAATTATAATAAGGGAGTAGGAGCATCTTTATTGGAAATATTATGGACGGGCTCTTTCAATGATCTGGCTATCAATTCATAGCTCAATAATGACATATACAAAAATTATGAACAAGACTTGGATTTTAATTTTAACTACAAGCAGCTCACGGTTTAGTTCCATGTTATGATCACAGTGGTATTTAATTATTTGAGATTTTTCATACAAAATGTCATATTTAAGCATAATGATAATCATGGCACTACAAAAGCTAAGCTATGTAGAAATGCATATATGGAAAATATTATTTTACATTCATATTAAAAAAAAAAAAAAAGGGTGTTAAAAATTCATATTTTAATTAGTTTTTTTATTTTAGAGTTGTATTTTTTTTAAAAAAAAATTCTTGTTTAGCAAGTCTTGGACTTTAAAAAATTATAATCCTTGTCCAATAAAAAATTGGATTTGAAACTCTATAAATAGATACATAAGTTTTGGATTGAGACTTATGAGATTGAAAAAGATGTAATTTCATGAGAGAGTTAATGGGTAGAGGTAGTTTATAAGTTGGTAGAGTAGGATAAATACTGAGGGTCACTGGTAATGAGGAGACAGACTCGTGGAGTGGTACATAGTGAAAAGACATACATAGTGAAAAGACATGTACCGGTTTTGAATCACAGTCCTAATGTAAGATAGGATTTTGGACAATTCGACAAGTCCGTTTTTTACCCTAATGGAGGGTTTTTTTATTTTTTATTTTTATTTTTTTGTGAAAACGATGCATTGAGAAAAATCCATTAACTTTAACTTGCGGACATATTGGCTTTTGGTTGAAAATCTTCGTTTAGATTTCTGAAATCGCGTTTTCTTATCTTATAAGAGTTTGTTGATTATTTGGGGATTTTTGTTCATAGCCTAAACAAAGTCGGATTCATCTCAATTTTTATATTTAGTAGTTTTTATTGATTAGTTTTGTTATTCTATTTTTTCTATAATTTTTTTTAGACAAACTTTATTTTTAGACTTATTCTTAGTGTTAATATTTGTTTATGTTTTAGTTTCCTTCTGTTTGGTTTATTTTATTATAAATACATGTACGGCAAATAGCATAATTAATTTTATTTATTCAATAATTAATACAATATCATATTTTCTCCGAATTTATCATGTACTTTATAGATTCAAAGTTATGAAGCATTCACAATAAACTTAAACAACTTTGAATCCACAAATTTAAAGAAAATATGATATTATATTAATAATTGAATTAATAAAATTAATTATGCTCTTTGTAATTCAAGTATTTATAATAAAAGAAAACCAAAAAAACTATTACCACAAAGAAGCATAATGGTAAAAGAAAAATAATACTGAAAATAAGCCTAAAAATAAAGTTTCTCTAAAAAAATTAGAAAAAAAATAGAATAAGAAACATAATCAATAAAAACTACTAAATATAAAAACTGAGATGAATTCAACTTTGTTTAGGCCTCAAACAAAAATCTCCAAATAATCAATAGGTCTCCTATAACTATAAGAAAACATGATTTCGGATCCCTAAAGGTTTTCAGCCAAAAACCAACATGACCCATAAGCTAAAGCTAGTGTGTTTTTCTCAATGCATCGTTTTCACTCAAAAAATACTTTATTCGAGTCAAATACAGACTTGTGGAACTGTCAATAATTCTATCCTGCATTAAAACCACGTTATATATTGTGTTTGTGTATGATTGCTTTGTTGGCTTTCATTGGATCTTTGTGTCAAGGTGAAGGAGATCCAGAAAACATAAAGAGATCTAAAAAACATAAGGAGTCTCAACGAGTGCTACAATGAGTTTCAGTTGCAGGTGGAGTCAATTGGCTTGGTTACATGACATGGAACTCGAGTAGTCAAGTGGGGCCTTGGAGGTTTGACTGATCGAGCAACATACAGTATGAACTATCAAAGTTTTGCAACAGTTTCGTTAAGATTAAAACTACAAAAGAATTGTCCTAATTAATGTCGTAGAAACTATAAGTGGCTTGATGGAATTTGAACTAAGGTGGATATTGTTGAAAATTGTGTCTCAAATTTCTATTCTAATTAGGTTTCCATTTTAGAATTGTATTCCGTTAGAAAATTCTTGTTAAGTAAGTATTGGCTCTAAGAAATTGTAATTCTTATCGGAAATTGTGTTTGGAACTCTATAAATAGATACTAAGTTTTGGGTTGAGACTTATAAAATTGATATAGATGTAGTCTTACAAGGAAATTGATAGGTAGAGGGAATTAATGGGTTGGTAGAGTATGAAAAACATGGATAGTCACTAGTAGCGAAGAAATAGGCTCATGGAGTGGTACACTATGAAAAGACGTATATGCGGTATTGATACCCTATTGTTGTAATATTTTTATAAATTATAGTGAAATCATTTTTCATCCGTGTATGTAAGCCGATTAACGATTTTAGTTAAATTATGTTATATCTTGTGTTTGTGTGTCACTTTTATTGGATTTTTGTGTTCTCTCGCGCTCTCGCTGCTCCCAACATAGACGTAGAAAGGTACTTTGTATATTACATTTTTTTTTACCTAATTCATAAGCAAATATTGTCCTTGCTGGCACGCTTGGCTAGCAAGCTTTTAGTATATATATATATATATATATTTCTGGACAATTTATGTTACTTCTTAATAGAATGAATCTATTTGTTGGAACTTGGAACAGTTTAAATGCATGATTTCAACTCATTTGGACTAAACTCGGCTGTTGAAAGATTCCAAATTTGCTTCTCAAACGAACTTGAAAGATTCTCAATTTGCTTCTCAAATGAAGTATTGAAAAATAATATACTAAATTGCGTGTGATCTTACGTTAGTGGCATTCGAAAATAATAATTGGGCTGAACTTCAACAACCGTTCTATTCAGGCCCAACACTTCAATCGAAGTGTTGGGCCTAGCACATTCCATGGAAAAATGATATTCCCAAGTGTTGGGCCAAATCTCATTTTTGAATCGCACGCCAAATGCGAAGAAGAGAAATAGTGGAGAGTTGAAGTTCAAATGCCGGGCCTTTACCGATCAGTTATTGGCCATGGTCATTTGGCTGAAGCAGGCACTAAAGACTGATTTTTTTAATTTTTTTTTTTTAGTTAACTTACACACATGTCTGTATTGAAGTTCGAACTTCTGACCTCTTTTTGAGAAGTAGGAGTTTGTCCACTAAAAATTCTAGAATTCCATAGGAGTACCATACTCCCGGGTATCCAAGCCATTAGATGTGGTGATGGGGTCCACCGATAGATGATCCAACCACTGAGAAACCCAAGGGTACAGTCCTAGAGCTTCTCATCCATGCAGCACCATTAGGAAAAAGAAACTCAATTGCGCATGGCCATAACTTTATTGAGAATTCGAGATACCATACCCTGGCATGCATCATTGAAAAATCTTAGCTTGATTAGGCCTCTGTGAAACAACATTGTTCACCCTTTGACAATATTCAGGGTCATTCAAGGAAAACTTTGGCCAAACGCGGAAAACAAAAACAAAGACAAACCATTGTTTCTGTACATACAGACCTTAATTCACATCAAACAAACAGTGGCGGATTGTTACAATGTATAAATCATTCTAACGAAGTTTGCAATAGGATAAAAAACAAGACATAAAAATAAAGAGGAAATCGAAAATGTGACCACCAAGAGTCTAGCCTAGTGGTATCTTCTCTTCTCACGTGGAAGAATGAGGGTTCAAGTCCTCATTCGGATGTTATAATGTGGGTTTGTTCATACCTAACAAAAATAACACAAAAAGTTTAGAAAATGTGGCAATTGTGCTTGCCAAAAACAGATTCCAACTTAAGCAGAAACTCTGTTGTGATTATGTTGTGTTTGATTTACTCATTAGAGCCTTTTTGGTATGGGTAAAAGTAAAAGGGAAATGGAGGAAGGAGAGGGATATGGAGGAGGAGAACAGGTAAGGGAAAGGAAAGAAAGCAGGGAAGTCCCTTCCTTCCAAGTTCCAAGCCACCCTATCCTTTTCTCCCAAAAGTGAGAGGAAAGGAGGAAGGAAATATCTCCCATCCTTTCTCTGAATTTTTATTTTTCAATTTTATATATCTATCATTCAATAGCTTTCCTTTCTCTTTGCTCCTTTTTGACTATTCAAAACATGTTCGTACTTTGTATAAAGTGAAGCAATTTCACTTTGTCTAAAGAGAAGATAGATTTTATTGTTTTCCAATCTCATCTTAACACTAAACAAGCACAGTGTTGCTGGACATGATGCTCCATCCATAAGAAACCCATGCTAATTATGAGAACAATACAAAATTCAGAAAAACTTCAGTTTATTGGACTTTTCTAGTTGGAGATTCCCAAGAATTTGTGTCGACGGTTAGAGATCTACAGAAATGTTACAAAATACACAATTTTGCAATGCATCAAATTTAAAGAAGTCAAATAACCTACAATTATCAGTGTGAGAGTCATCTTAACACTTACATATAACTCTCTGAAGTGCTTGTATGATCATCCCTGTGGATGCAACAGTTGATCCCTTGAACTGCAGTTTAAACACGGGTCACGATTAAACAGAGTTACTAAGAAGTAATAGTCATCATCGCGAACTGACTCAAAAATTAGAATGTCAAACAATTCCTGAACATATCTAAAGGAACAATCTTACTTTTTGGAATGGAATGTCCAGATAAGTAAATGAATACTCATTATCTTTGTGTGATGCTGAGTACAAACCTTGGATTTAATGTTCAAGGAAAGAATCCCATCAACGTTGGAGGATTGAACCGAGTGAGAATCTAGGTGGAAATTGCTTATTGCATCCATAATTTCAAGCAACAAACACTCCCTCCAAGGACACCTAATCTCGATCAAAACATCCTTCTCAGTCATTTTGACAGTTACATTATCAGTTGAGCTATCTTTCAATTGAACAAGGTTGATCTCCGGCTCTCCTCCATCAATATCACAAGCTTTCCTCTTGTTTATCGAGGGCCTCTTGCCAATACCAGTACTGTTCCCGTAGTTATCGGATGTCCTCTCTGTAGTATCTTGGGGTTTCTTCCTCGTCATTGCATCTAAATCTGTTACCTCCCTGCAACATTCCAAATCATCAACCCTTCTCTCAAGCTCTTTAAGATATTCGATTGTGCCATCGAGTATAGAAACTTTGTCAACCTGCACAAAATAATATAGAATAATAATAACAACAACGACTACAACAACCATGGTAATAATAAATAAATAAAGTAAAAGGCCAAATGTTCTCTTGATTAACTACCTTGCTAGTGGAAGGGATCAATGATCCAAGAACCGAATATCTTTCATTTATATTTTCCCTTCGCCTCCTCCCTGAGAACAGATTGGTTGTGCCAATTTCATCAACCTGCGGTCTCCATAGTCCATCTTCTCTGCTATTATCTTGTCTGGACTCGATCAAGCGACCACCATGCATTCGAGCAACTTCAAAGAGCACCTTCTTTAATACTCTTTGTGGAGTTCCACTTCTGTGTTTCCGGATACCTACTGGTCCTTTCTTCCAGTCAATAAAGCTGGATTCCTTATGACACTTTTGGAAGTATGGTCCCAAAACCAATTGGTGGGAGCTCTTCAAAAGGGATGAAACAACACTATGATAGTGGATATCATCATTTGGAAGATCCAATGAGGTCAGTTTCGTGTGGTTGCACTCTTGAAGGTCAAGTAAACAACTGTCCTTTTCAGGAGTTACAAAGGTTTGGGATATAGAGTCACTTGAATTTGAGGAATTTTGGACACAGTTACTGACCTCATCATCCATGAATTGCCAGCTTTGTACTTGAGAAACACCCCCATTTAAGCCTTCTACCATAACCGATTCCTCTGTCTGTTGATTGGGCAAAAAACCACTCGAAGTGTTATTGGGAGCACAAAGATTTACTTCTCTGCATTCTACGGCAGGATCAAGATTGGTGTCAAGCTTATTGTGATTAAGCTTGGGAAGGACAAGGTCTTTGTCAGTTCTTGTATTTTCTGAGGCATAATTAGATATCTTCGGAACAGTTGGGTATGGATTCTCCAAAAAGGTAGTTTTAATGTGCTGAATGAGAGTGGGATCCTCTAAAACCTTCAGAACACAAATTACGACAGAAAAACATGACTTAGAATTAGAATGAAATGTACAAAAGCAAACCCTAGTGATTTAGATTTGAGGTGCGAATCTGACACTAACTTACCAGCTCAGTTACCCCCAGCTCAACCACACCGCCTAAAAACGGAAAGCATACCACAGTCTGCGAGTCAATAACAGGATATATATATTAAATAACACAATTCTCAAGAGAAACCACATAGACTAAATGGCAATATTGATTCTCTGATCTTTTCGTGTTCATAAGAGCAAAATGGTACCTGAATAGATGCACTCTGAGGAAGATAGTCGGTTCAAGTCCAGTTGTTTAACATAAATGAAACATAAAAAGGACATTCAGTTTTTTTAGAGTCATTTTGAGCATAAAAGTCATTCCATAGAAAATGATGTTTCATTCAGATTTAAATTGTGAGATACTATTTAAGGGGGGAAAACAAGAGAAGAAGAAGAAGAAGAAGAAAGAAAGAAAGAACTAAATACCTTTGCCAACAGAGAGCGACTGAATACTTTGCTATCGGCACAATGAGCATTGCACAGCCAGATGGGCTGTCCGTTGGCTAATGTTCTTCCCGGCAACCTGAGGAACCATTTTTCAATCAATTCACTGCTAATTTTATTAAGTCACTGTAGATGTAATATTGATGCCATGCTTTACAGATACGCAGAAATGACAATTTAATGAAACACAGACAATATTTAAATTGGCAGACGGTTGGTAGAAACTGGAAATCACACTCTAAGAATCAAAATGCAGTAGTTCAGCAATAATAAGGTCCAACATGAGATGTAACAAAATTTATGACCAAATGCAAACATCAGATGGTGGCAGATGAAGTAGTTAATTCAATGCAGCTCTACTTAGAGGGGATAAGCTGTTAACTCCCATCTTTTTTCATGCAATGACCATTGATAGTCCACCAACATCACAGCGCAGAGGAACCATTTTTTTCTGAACTTCAACATTTTTTGCCAAAATGATAACAATGTTACTCTTCACCATGATATGGTGCTCCACAATCGGAAAATCAGAAAGGCCATAATAGCTACTAACAAATCTGGATTGAGTTAAGAGCAATTGTATAAAGAAAGTTTACCCTTGGCCAATATTGAATACGAAGGACATGCAAACCAAGTAATACCACTCCGTATCCGTGAGGTCTTCAGGGGACAATGCAGCTGAAGGCCTTCTAGCTTGTGGGTTGGTCTCAGCTACCGAAAGGGACTCATAAAGTTCTTTCAATTGCTCACTCCTCTGCAACCCCAGTTGATCGGCATTGAATTCTACAGCCTGAACTGTTTTCCTTGTCTTAATATCTCCATTGTAGTACCCATCACCCCATTCCAATACCCTAACAAATACCATCCACTATCAACAAACATGTATGTCTATTTATATCAAACATGTGGTACAAGTAACATCTAGAGGATTTCACTTCCCTTGACAGTTCAATACAAATTATTACAGCATCAAAGCAGCAGATATTCAGAATTTCAAAGGGATCTAAGACAGCTCAATACAAATTATTACAGCATCGAAGCAGCAGATATTCAGAATTTCAAAGAGATCTAAGTAATAAACCACTTATATAAACAAATTTTGCAAAACAAAGAGAAGTGTACTAGGAAATGAAAATTTCCATAAATCTCAAATGCATTCCCTTCAACAGATTAAGCAAACAATAAAACTGATAGAAGGAGTAGAAAGTTACTTGAAACTCGACCCAAAAAAAAAATTTTGAAGGAAAAAAATTTGCATAGATATGTTCTTAGAACACAACCCACAAGACATGTTCTTGTATTCTAACCTACATGGCACCCAATTTCCCCACCCCCATGAAAATATATATATATATATATATAAATAATAAATAAAAAAAAAATCTTAACTGAAGAAAATGCCATAGATAATTTCTATTCTAGAGAGAGAAGGAAAAAGATGAAGTGAAGAGAGATGGAATGTTGAATACCCTGGCTGTCTTGATGAAATGGACCAAAAGATTGCATAGCTCCACTGAATGCTTCTCACAGCAATAGCAAGCTGCTTCTTTAGGTTTTCTGACAATCCATCCTGGTTTTGTAACCCACTACTAGCCATAACTTACCAATCTAAACTTCACCTTTTTCTCTCTCTACATAAACATCTATAGAATCATGGGAAACCCCACCACTTAATAAGATCCCACAAGCCTAAGACACAATGATTTTTAGGAAGAAAAAAAAAAAGAAAAAAAGAAGAAGAACAAATGTATCAAGAAATTCAAAGCTTTGACTTGACTTCTTGATTCTTAGAAAACTACTCTTGATTGAATCAACTAGATCTTAAACCAACCACCATAGCTCCAAACAAATAGATGAAAAAATTGAAGAGGGTGTCTCTGGTTAGCTAGAAACCAAGAGAATGGGAAAGAGAAGTAAGTGGTGCTCACAAGTAGACCATCACTGGACGAAAGGTTCAAAGCCCAGTAATAAATAATTATCTGTTGCCTACAGAATCAGCAGAACACTCACTCCAAAAACAACCAAACATAAATATATTATATAAAATTGTATCTCTGGTTTAATCTTATAAATGGGTACTAAGATTTTTCACCAGAAATACAGAATTTCATGTCAACTAAACTCAGAAAGACAGGATCTATTATTGGGGAGAGAGGGTGCGGGAACACTAGGAATAACTGCTGTTTTTTTCCTTTCTTTTTTAAAGCTTTTTAGTGTGAAGGCCGACACTGCCCGATTTTTCTTTCTTTTTTTAAAAAAATATATATATACACATATATATATTGATTTTGTTTTTTGGGTTCAGTACTTTCAGTAACTACTTGAGACTAAAATGGAAGCAAAGACACTAGTTCTATGTAAACCAGAGTTAAAAACTGTGGATTGAAGTCCTGAATTGCACACAGACGAATGAGCTGTTTTAATCCAAACACACGCATAAAGAAGAAGATGCAAGTGACGGGGAATGAATGGTCTCTCTCGCAGTAACAGTTGAGCAGTCGCACAGCTGTAGGATGTGGTCCGCTGATGTGGGTTTGGCTAGAAATAATAAGGAAAGAACCAAAAATAATAAAGATGTGCGGTTATTATTGCTGCTATTATTTTGTCCACTACGGTTTTGATGTCCTCCAAATTTGAAGTGTCCATTTCTTTATTGTTCTCAAATATAAGTCATTGGAAGGGAAGTAGTAAATACCGGAGTGGAGATAGGGAGTACTGGGCTTCACGGGCCCACGTAAAAGGGTAGGAAATAGACAGGGCAGAGAAAGTTGAAACACGTGACGGAATATTTACAAGCCACCCCAACTCTCCGGCCGTCGTTATTCACCGATTCCATAGACCTGGTGATGCGTACTGTTCTGATCTGATTCTATAGTGAATCTAGAAACAACTCCATAATTTTCGATTTAATATAATATTTTATTTTTTCAGTAACGAATGAGAAGAAAACAATTTTTTGTAAAAATATTAATAATGTGAAACATTAAGTCTGTATCTAATATTTTTATATGAACATTATTATCATTATTCTGAATTTCTTTAGCATCATTCATGGAGATCCTGCAATTAAGGTGCATTTGAGCACTATTTTAGTGCCTTGGGACCCACAAGTTTTCATTGATGAATTTTGGTGGGAAATTCCTACACGTAACAGCATCTCAACTTCCACCAAGATACCAATCCATTCCGTAAGAAAGATTCTTGCAAATGTATTAACGGAATATAATACACATACATATGTAAAATATATGTATATAGAGTTCTGATCTTGCTCCTAGTAAAGTAAGAAAATTAATCCATATTTTTTATATAGACAGTTAGATTTAATTTAACGGTCATTTTTCAAATCTAGCTTTGACATTTTCTTTTAACACAAAATTACTCTCACCCTATTTTTAGTTTATATATTTAATTTTATCGTTACCACTTACGTAACAATAAAAGATAATTATCAACTTTCTCTCCATTTCTTCGTGTGTTGAATTTGAATCAATGGACAAAAGTGTGGACAAATGATTGATTACTCTCCATGGATAAGGTTGTGAGAAGAGGTCCACCCATGTTTTTGAGTTACCTTATTGTTTTCTGAGGTGAATTTTACAGTTCTACCATAGTCAGTACATCATCATCATCTAATAATCAAAATCACAAATTGACAAATTCAATAATGAATTTCATCAAATGCCCAACTTCAAATTGAAATCAGAAAGATTTTTTGTTCAAACTTTAAATGAAATTTTCTTCAATTTTAATTCCAATTAATCAATTCGATATTTTAAAATGCAATATTATATTTGTTGGTAAATTTACTTATACTAGAGAAGTATAATAATTTACTTATACGGAGAACAACAAGATGTTTTTTAAGAAAATGCTATAATATCATACTGTTGTTGCAAAATTGAAAGATACGGGTATTATTTTTCTTTCAAAGAAACATCTAAATAAAAACAATTTTTTAGTAAAATATACTAGTATTATTTTTTTCAAAAGTTTTTATTTTTATTTTGATAATTACCTTTTATTGTTTTAATAGGTGATAATGGTAAAATTAAATATACAAACTAAAAATATGGTGAGAGTGATTTTGTGTTAAAAAAAAATATCATAAGTGGGTTTGAAAAATGACTGTTAGATATCTAACGGTCTATATAAAAAGTGTGGATTAATTTTCTTTCTCCATAGGGAACAAGAGATCAGGACTCTATGTGTATATATATAATGTATATGTGGCCTTTGTGTCCATATCTATATATATGAATCAAGGGTGGTAATTTGTATTTGCGAGTCGTAATCATGTCGTATCAATTTAAGGGTATTATACTAAACAGCTTAACCCGAACACGACCCGTTTAATAATTGTGTCAGGAACTCTCAAAACTAGCCCGACCTGTTTTTTAAACGGATTACACCTGTTTAATAACCTATTTACAAAATAAATAAATAAATTATTAATATTACTCAATAAAATAAAAAATACTAAAAAAAAATATAAGTTTTAATCAACCAAATTACTAAATAGTTTTTAATTTACAAAAGATTAAATTCTAAGACACGAATTTATATAGTAATTTTAAAACTTAAATACAAATTTATTTACGACATATACAGTTAAACGTGTATATATGAGTTATACGGGTTAAACTCCTCAACCCAAATACGACACGATTAATTAAACGGGTTAATCGTGTTGACACATTTAAGATCAATCTAAACTCGTTTAACTTATACCGTGTTGACAAATTGTGTCAACTTTTATCCCCACTGTATATAATTATATGTGGGTTGGTGTTTCAAAATCTGGCCAAAAGATTACAAGTTCCACTTTGTATGCGGTGGAATTGACCCTCTCCGAATGGACCGAATGCACCAATATAATCCAATATTGTCTTCTATTGAATTGGCCAATCGCTTCTTATGCGTAATACCGTCTAAATTCAACGAAGTTAGGTAAAAAACTTTCAATCTTCCGTACCTTTTCTTTTCTTTCTAAATTTATTATAATATTACCATAAAGAATTATATTTTCCTGTTATAATGAGTGGATCCGATAAAGAACAAATCCCTCCTTGTAACACTTTGTTATATCCCTCCTCGTAACACTTTGCTATATAATTTATCTTATATCAATCAAGACTATCGATAACATTACTCATTAGTCATTACATAGTCTTTTCGTTTCTTCAGCGATTGCAATAGATATTTTTATTTTTATTTATTTTTAACAATTATAATAAATAGAATCCAATAAAAATTCTTGTCGGCCAGTATATAATATGAACACAATATTTATTTTAATCATCAATAGTTACATAAAACCAATTATGCGTGAATGTCGACACACGACTACTATGCAACTATTATGGCCATCCTAAGTGTCTAAAGTTAGGTTTTCTCCCACATCAATGTTTTCATATGTAATGGTTAAGATACAGGTAGTTGGTTCAACATAAATCATTTCATGCTAGACTCCAAAAGGAAATGGTCACTTTCAAATTAATGGATGAGCTAACAAATGACCAATTTCATGGCCCTAGAAGATGCATTAGAATTGAGAACTCTCTTTTTCATATTTGGATTCTACTCTGCTGGGATTATATATAGGACCAAAAATCATGTTATTTAGTCAACTAAATGGACATCAATCATCCAATTGGACAGGCTAGAGAGAGAGAGAGAGAGAGACATTAATTAGTGTCGAAACACATAAGTATGCAAAATATACATACATACATACATACATATTGTAATACTAGTGATGAGAAGTCATATTGGCATTTCACTTTTTAACATTTGCATTATAATTATTAAGTGAAATGACAATTCTAATCATAACTTTACAAGTAAATAATTGTTACTTTTTAAAAGACAAAACTGTCATTTTTTATTTCCTCTCCTTATCTCTAATCTTAATTATTTTAGGTCTCTTTTGACAAGATAAAAAATTAATTGATTAATTAAATAATTTTTTTTTACGGGACCAAGAAATAAAAATTTATGTTGAATAAATTGACTCTTTTGACCGGACCAAAAAAATATAAAGTAATCATTAAAAGAATTATCTCTTTCGACATGAAAAAAAAAAAAAAAAACTCGAAAAAAAATATTTCTTGAAGAAATTATTTTTTTGTCAAGATCCCAAAAGAAAAAGAAAAAGTATGAAAAGAAGAGAATTAATTTTTTTTTTAATCTATATTGAATAAATTATCTCTTTTGATAAGACCCAAAAAAAAAATTGTTATTTTTATCTAATAAATTATTTATTTTGACAGGACCATAAAAAATTATCAAAAAAATAAAAAAGTTACCTCTTTTGATTGAAAAAAGTTAATTTTGTTAAATAAATATCCCTTTCAATTGTACCCAAAAAAAAAAAAAGTCATATTGAAATAAATTATTTTCTTTGGGAGGACCTCTGGGAAAAACAAATAGAAAATAAAGCAAAGAAGGTAAAAAAAAGTTAAAGTTGTATGAAGGGTAATTATGACATAATAAATTTAGGGATAATTCATTAATGAATTTAATGACCTTTTTGCCATTTTCTTTAAAAGAAAAAAATAAATGTAGTGCAATTAAAGAAAAGTGGAGGCAAATATCAACTCTCTTATTTATAAGTAATTTATCATAAAAAGTATAGATTGATTATTTTAATTTCTTCTTGGCCATTCATCATTTGCAACATTTTATGCACAATCACACACTCCCATGTGAAGAGTAGTTTTTCACCTTATTGTAAATGTTTTGACTGGATATTCACTTTTAGAGGGAAAAATACATATTTTCAAGTTAATTTCATGACATATACAAAAATGTTTGCATTTCAATGTCGTTTTCTTCGATGCTCCAATAATTAACTTGCTTTCATTGACCTTTGAGATCAATCAAATATTTTAGATCACTTTCAATTTCTATTTTTGGCTCTTATGATAATGTACATATGAAACCATATCATCAAACCGACTAACCCAGAAATAGAAACTAATAGTGATATTCGGTGGTCTAATAATCCAATTAGAAAATAAAAAGAAAAAAGAAAGTATGTTGACATATATATATATATATATATATAAAGTACAATACATATGCAAATATGGGTCATATATATAAGAACGTATTGTTTTTCTTTAGCCGCATTTGGTGATTATATGCTAAAAGATAAAAAGATAACTCACATGTTCCAACTTTAAAAATCAAGTGGGACCAAAGTCTTGACATTAGGATTTTGCGAAGAAATTAAAACCAACACCTAACTCATGTTTTTTACTTGACACCATTGAATTGAATGTTATTATTAGGTGAATGTTTTGACTCTATCTATTGTGTCTAAATACAATCCCAAAATAAAAAATAAAAAATAAAAAACATTGTTAGTGATGCACATTACAAAACATCACAATATTTTTGTAAAATACATCAATAATGTACGTGACAGAACATTGTTTTAC